AATTTCGGTAGTCTCGACTGAACTTAATTAATTCCGAAAATAATAAACGATAACATTATTATATCGGAACTAAAACGTAATTTATACCGATAAAATATCGGGATATTACAACGCACTCCCGTCGTTAGGGTTTATGCATCCCCTTTCCACGGCTAATGATAAATGTGCACATGAGTGAGTTATTGTTGTGATTGTTAGGAGATGAGACACGATGATGATTGATTTATATTCATGCTGCGACCATACCATCTTTATATGTTATTATGTGCATAGTAGTGAGCACTACTTTATCATTTGTACTCATTCCCACCTGCTCTTCACGGATGCAGGTTAAGCAGTGGCCGGGTGACGGGACGAAGGACGAGTGGTGGTTTATTATTTGTTTTATTTTGCTTCCGCTTTAATAATATGGTCGTTATGAACCTTCTATGTTTTGGACATGTGAAAACTATTTTCGAACTATGTTTTGATGTTTGAAAATAATTTGGAAAACCCTTTTGAACCTTGATTAATCATGGTGTTTGATTTATGAAGTTTCAGTTGTTCATATGGGATATTATGTTGAGGTGTGAATTAGGTTAATGAAAACCTTGTGAAAAATCGGGTTTATGAATCCCCGTGAGTCCAGATAAGACTTGGACTAAGTAAATTGTGTTGGTTAATGCCCTTGATTTCGAAAATGAATTCGAAATTTTTTTGTTCTGATTTTTTAGAAAGTCCGGAATTTCTTTAAAATCAAAGTGGGTGTTACAGTTTGGTATCAGAGCCAGTCTGCGTTTATGTAGACTAGCAGATATGTGATTATGTGTTTAGACCTTTTGTTATGACCACTCGTCTGCGTCACTCCGCGCTGCTTAAGGTATGTTTGACTTAAGTATTAATTAAAATACTTGATATGTAAATGGAACACATGTGGTAATGAGACTACTTGTGGTGTAATTGTTATTTTTGGGGCTTAGGACCTATCCACCTTGATTTAATCGAACTCTAGTGTTTATTGGCGAACTCTAGCTTCTATAAGTATTGATTATTTTGTTTGTTTTTGTGCTAAACTTTGTTCGACTTATTCAATGTAGAAGTATGAATACTCGCAACAATAACCGTAACCGTCAGGCATCCCCGACTCCTTCCCCGCCTCGTCGTCATCATCAGGCCCCTCTGGCCATGGACCTCACTCAGCTTATCATCCAGTTTCAGAGGATGAATGCACCCACTTTTGCAGGGACTGAGAACCCCACAGCGGTGCTGGAGTGGATGAAAGAGCTGGATAAGATTTTTGCGGTACTCCCCCTCCCGGACCGTCAGCGGGTATCCCTCGTAGCTTATCAGATGAAGGAGGATGCCTCCGACTGGTGGATTGACCACTGGGCTCGGAGGCCAGAGGCGGAGCTTCATGCACTCACTTGGGAGCAAATGAAAGTGATGGTGCGCAGTAAGTTCCTTCCCTAGAGCTTTTGGGATAGAATGGAGCATGAGTTCTACCACTTGCAGCAGGGTAGCTCCACAGTGGATGAGTATATCCGCACCTTCACCCGCATGTGCCTTTTTGTGGGCGACGCAGTGAACACCGATGCCAAGAAGGCCCGTAAGTTTCTTAAGGGGCTCAACCAGAGGATCCGTGAACTGGTGGGAAGTCATGGGCTGATGTCCTTCGCCGACACTGTTAGTCGGGCTCAGGAGGTAGAGAGTTGTCTCATTTCGATAGCCCCAGTCCCTTCATATTATAATGCCTCTCAGCCTTCTCAGACTGTTGCTCAGTACGCTCAGCTCATTACATCTGTGCCGCCCGGCTCTAGCTCGGGCAAGAGGAAGTCTGATTATCATAACAAAAAAAAGGGAAAGAAAGGAAACTTCGGCAGACGTGACGACCGACCCACTCAGGGTCAACAGCCGAGGTGCCCTAAATGCGGCAGGTTCCACACCGGAGAGTGCTTAGCAGACCAGCGAGCTTGTTACAACTGCAACCGTCCGGGTCACTATGCCAGTGTCTGCACCGAACCAAAGAGACAGCAACAGCAGCAGCCCTTTGCCCAGCAGTGTCAACAGCAGCTTCCCCCCACCGCCACCTCATCAACAGCATCAGCAGCCCCCACCGTTCCAGCATAGGGCTGGGGGTCAGGCCCATGTCTACACCATCACCCATGAAGAGGCCGCTCGCAATGCAGGTACCATGTCCGGAATGCTTTCGATATCCCATGTGCCTGTTTTTGCTTTATGTGATACCGGTGCTACCCATTCTTTTATTTTTTCTTGTTGCTTGGAGGCTTTATCTATTGGCACCGTGCATACTTGTGATCATCTCGAGGTTAGTTTAGCCTCGGGAAAAATTATTATATCTGATTCAGTGGTTCGCAATCTTCCTATCAGTATTGGTGGTCGAGTTTTGGAGGCCAACGTCTATGTAATTGATATGCGAGATTTAACGTGATCTTGGGCATGGACTTGCTCACTCGTTACCGAGCCGATATCCGGTGCTAGGAGCGCGAAGTCACCCTTTATCCTATTTCCGATCAGCCTGTTGTGTTCTTTGGTGTGAGTTCGAGGACTGTGCCTCGGGTCATCTCTTCTATGCAAGCTAGGACGAGCCTTTCCAAGGGTAGCTGTCAAGGCTATCTTGTTTCCATGGTATCCGACGTTGTTGATGAGCGGGTGCCCGAGAGAGTATCTATTGTTTGCGAGTACCTCGACGTCTTTCCTGATGATTTACCCGGAGGACCGCCAGACCGCCAGGTGGAGTTCACCATTAACCTAATTCCAGAAGCCGGACCCGTTTCTAAGGCCCTCTACCGTATGGCGCCGAAGGAGCTTTAAGAGCTCAAGGCCCATATCCAGGAGTTGCTCAAGCTCGGTTTTATTCGTCTGAGTGTCTCGCCATAGGGTGCGCTCGTCCTATTCGTGAAGAAGAAAGATGGATCTATGCGCATGTGCATTGACTATCGGGAGTTGAATGCCCTTACAGTCAAGAACAAGTACCCACTTCCCCGTATTGAGGACCTTCTCGACCAGCTGAGAGGAGCTAGCGTCTTGTCAAAGAGTAACTTGCGTTCGGGCTATCATCAGCTGAAGATCTGGGAGTCGGATATTTCTAAGACTGCTTTTCGTATCTGCTATGGCCATTATGAGTCCGTAGTCATGCCGTTCGGACTCAGCAATGCCCTAGCCGTTTTCATGGACCTTATGAATAGGGTCTTTCATCCTTTCCTGGACTAGTTCGTCATTGTGTTCATCGACGACATTCTGATCTATTCCCGAGATATCGATCAGCATAAGGAGCATCTGAGGATTGTGCTGGAGACTCTTCGTCGCGAGAAGTTGTATGCTAAGCTCTCGAAGTGCTAGTTCTGGCTGAACCGTGTGGCATTCCTTGGTCACATTTGTACAGCTCGAGGCATTGAGGTGGATCCCAGCAAGATTGAGGCGGTGAGCAAGTGGGATACGCCGAGAAGTGCCGCTGATGTTCGTAGTTTCCTGGGGTTAGCAGGATACTACAGGAGGTTTATAGAGGGATTCTCGAAGATAGCCCAGCCGCTGACCAACCTTACGAAGAAAGTCGTGAGGTTTGATTGGAGTCCTCAGTGCGAGGAGAGTTTCTAGGAGTTGAAGATGAGACTCACTATTGCGCCTGTCCTATCTATACCCGATCCTACTTTGGAGTTCACGATCTATAGTGATGCTTCGAAGATGGGCTTGGGTTGTGTTCTCATGCAGCAGGGGAAAGTCGTAGCCTATGCTTCGAGGCAGCTGAAGCCTCACGAGCAGAACTACCCCACTCATGATCTCGAGTTAGCTGCAGTTGTCCACGCCTTGAAGATTTCGCGGCACTACCTCTATGGAGGCAAGTGTGAGATCTTTACCGACCACAAGAGCCTAAAGTACATCTTCACTCAGAAGGAGCTGAACATGAGGCAGCGTAGATGGTTGGAGCTGGTCAAGGACTACGACTGCACCATTAGCTATCACCCTGGGAAAGCTAATGTGGTAGCCGATGCCCTTAGCCGGAGGAGTTATGGCCAATTATCTTGCCTATTCACCAGGCAGGATGTTCTTCTTCGGAAGTTCAAGCGATTATAGCTAGAGGCAGTGGAGTCAACTTCGACAGCCGGGGGCGTGTTGGCCTCTTTGGTTGTGGGATCGACTCTTTGAGAGAGGATAGTCGCCGAACAACCGAATGTGTTGGGACAAATGAGGATCTCGATATGCACAAATCACGGACAAACATTCAACATAAACCTATGCGCAGCGGATCTAAAGGTTTGATGAAGAAAACTTACTGCTTAAAATTTATGTAGATTTGGCTGGCCCGGACAGATGACCGCAAATCAAATCTTCTCGGAATCGAACAAACTTGACCAATCCAGAAATCTGGCGTCACGGCAAAGTCAACGGCGTTGACAGATCAAAAATTGGACGGTTCACGCAGTCTCACGCGCGCGAGTAAGCTCCCGCAGCTGCTCCCTTCCGGCGGCGCGTGGCGGCGCGTGCGGCGGCGGCTGGTGGCGATCTCGACGGCGATCTCTTCGTCTCGTCGTCCTGGTCGTCGTGGTATGGTCACTTGCTGGTTTTGGTCTCCGGTTTGGATGTATGATCGATCTGATTTGAATCCCGTATATACCTTAAGATCTTCTACTGTATTCTCAAACAGCTATCTAGATCTTGTATCAGTGGAGCACAAGAAATAGAACTACTCCTCGGAAGAGAGAGATAGAGGGGCGGATGACTCTCAAAAGATGTGGGATTATCTCATGTCTTCCAAGAGCCTAATGCTGTATATATAGAGCTACAGTAGGGACCCTAAGAAGAATAGGAAAAGGGCTTCTAATATATTAATACTGTGGAGCAACCCCACAATTAATATATTAATAATATTAAAGTCCACCACAATAATTATA